TTAGATGGTTGGTTATTGAAAATTCCCCACAAACACATACTATTTATTAAAGAATAAACCCTGGGGTAATTCAAAAGGCGTATTTTGAACCTTGGTGTGGGATCATTTTTTCTCTAGTTTGTTCCAGGTGTAGTGGTAATGAGCGTTTTAAATGTATTTTTTTACTTTTTGAAACTTTTTTACTTTTAAAAACTAGTTTTTAAACTTTTGTTTTGCTTATTAATTTTTTAAACTTTCTTAAAACTTTTTTTACAGATTTAACATTTTTCTAAGCTTTTTTTTTACCGTTAACCCCTAGCTAGCAGTAAGCAGCACTAACAGAAAATTCCCCATCTTCCCATAACTCCCACCCACCCACCCCAGCTAGCAAAATATATAATTATAAAATATTTAAATTAGTTAAATAAATTGAACCCCTGAGGGTTAAAAAATAAAGAAAAGTTAATCGTCAGGGTTTAAAAAAAATTAAATCACAGTATAATACTGTGATCTGTATTTTGATCACTGTAGGCAGTGATCGACTGGCAGGGAAGGGGTTAATTTTTATTTAGACTGGTTAAAGGGTTTTTTTTTTTAAATTAAACATTATTAAAACTTTTTTAACTTAATTTTGAACTTTTTAAAGCTTATTTTAAAACTTTTTTTAAAGTTAATGCCTAGTTAGCCTAACACCAAATCCCCCAATTCCACACTAACTTTCACCCAACCCAGCTAGCTAAATTTATCATTTTAAAATACTTAAATTAATTAATAAAAAAAAAAGAATTAACCCTCAGGGGTTAAAAAAAAATCAGATCATAGTAAAATGTAATCCCTGCCAATTGATCACTGTAGTAACCTTGAGAAAGACTCAAATGGGTCGAAACGTCGGCAAACTTTTGATGTTATACCTGCTGGAATAAATTATCTTTTTTCATTGCTTAAGCCCTAAGAGTGCATCTCTTCATTCCTCATATGTATTAAGGCCTTTGGCCTGTAATTGTGGGAGGGGCGTATGACTCACCTTCTCCCTACTTAAGGGACACCCCTTACCTGGCTCCATACCGTTCGAGGTCAGCGCTGCATCGAGAATCCACTTCCGGTTCACGTACGGCGCCATCTTGCTTTTCAAAAACCCGCGGTTTTCGTTTGGTGTAGCTGTGTCCAGGAATCCTTACAGGTTTTCCGCCCGTTCAGCCACGCACATACCCGGTGTTTTCGTCGCAGATTAAGTCCACAGGACTTCAAAATCGTAAGTCCGTCGCCCGGATCATTTCCCACGGCGTCGCGATTTAAAACGGCCTTACTTTACGGCCACACGCTTTACGGCCAAGTCACAGGCATATTAACCCCTTTGCTGCCGCCAGGCATATCGGTTTCGGTTTTCCTTTGTATTAAGCAAATTTGTTCTGCATATCATCAGCTATAATTGGTTTCATGTCATTTACTGTTATTTATTTTATGCAAATTACGAAATCCTTGCATATGACTGGGGCAATACCCCTGTTAACTACTTATGAATAAGTATTTATTTAGGTTATGGTTTAATCTTAGCAGATATGGCATTATTAAAGTTTTATTGAAATTCTTCATGTTATATACATATTTTTATGGAGTTAAGCATAGACAAGCCTTTACATTTTACAGATGTCGCTTGTAGGATTTACGTTATAAATTATGTTTAGAATTACGTTTCTATCATACCATGTACTCACGTTTCTTACATGGCACTTATATATTCTGACTTTTTCTTTGTGTACTCAAACGACATACCAAGTACACAAGAACACGGTCTCACAAATCTCACACACTCTCGGGTTGAATCACACGTCTTGAGTCAACCACTCATACGTCACGTTGTTTCCTAATTTGGGATAACTTCTCAAATATTTCTGTACCTCGTACTTACCTCTTTTCATGGCTTACGTTTACGGCCTAACATATACGGTATTGTTTTATATCCTGCACCTTATTATACCACAAACACTAGCATTACTATATCATACGCATTAATCTGGTCACCAGAGACATATCATACACACCCCCAAGCATGATTACCATACCACATACAGGGCCAGTCGGGCCAATATCATTCATGTATTCCCTTTCCATATGTACTACTAGAACTCATCACATATAACTAGTCTAAATTGGTATCATAGGATCCAATTCTCACACTATCATATTTTGTTTTCTATCCCTTTAGGATTTTCCAGTTTTTCTCTACCTATCACTTATCAAACGCATACATACTACCAGGTACGTTAAGCCTGCTCACACCATACATCACATATGGTTCCTCCTCTACTTAGGACATAGAGTACTGGCAATTTTAGGGGTTATAGGCCCAAATAGGTATCCCCCCTCCGGGCATTCTGCCTATCGTTTAGTGGTCCGCGAGGCCAACACCCCGCCTCAACGTTTCGGAGGTAATGCCCCCCGGGCCACACGTGAGTTAGCCGCCTCGCATTATAGAGAGGGTGCCACCTGTCACTCCCTTCCCCTGTTTTCTTGTATTGTCACCGAGAGGCCTACGAATTCCTGCCACTACGTCGGGTGGCCTCAATAACCCCTCGCGCCAACGCATAGATAGAGCCTCTCATAGCCACTTGGCAACTAGCAGGGCCTCACCTGTCACCAAAGAACAAGTTTTTAATTTTTCGCCTATCCGGCATAATTAGCCTGCCAGTACATCCCCTCGGGGGGTTTTATGCTAACCATATACTTTTGTAATCTAGTATGTCTCAAGAAGGGGTAGAGGATTTCTCCATCCCAAGGACTCCGGCTAGAACCAACACCCCATCACAGGAGGAAGATACGGCTAGTCCAGCATCTTTCAGATCATGGACTATCCCTCGTATCACTAGCGAACTCAGGAGACGACAAATCCCTTTTCCAGCAACAGCAAGGAAAGCGGAACTTTACAAATTATTACACACCTCAACTGATAACATGGACGCTGGGGAAGGGTCGAGCCAGTCCCACCCAGGGAACATACATGACATGCTCACGTCCCTCATGACATCCATGAGCAAGGTCAATTCTAGGCTGGAGAAACTTGAATCGGTCACTACAGCCCTCACTATGGCTGGACCGGCCACGGCAATTCCCCCATCAGTGGTGGAGTCACAATCAGTTTCTCCAGCTATCACCTCGGATGACCAAGAAGTTTACCCTGCCCACATGATTCCTGAGCACCTCAGGAGAGATATCCTGGAAGGTAAAGATGTCAATCTGGCCTCACTACTAATTGCCTCCCAGGATATAGTGGAACATAAGACCTACGCTTATGACGATATTTCTGTGGTGGTCAAATCCAGGGATGCACGATTAAATAGGAAGCTAACCATTCCTGAATTTGTATTAGCTTTTGGCATTTATCGGGATGTGGTCTGTACGGTATATCCCCACAGACGTGAGGAGTTTGACTTATATATGCACAGGCTGGTTGATCTGGGCAACAAATATGGTGGGTCAGCTTTCTATGACTACCATAGATCTTTTTCTGCCAAAGTGTCTGGCGCCTTCTCACAGTACGGGACAAGGTCCAACTGGAGTAAGATTGATACGATCATTTTTTGCAGGCACTTTGCAGGTCTAAGAGCACCGGCCTGTGCACACTGCTCCTCCATGGCTCATACTGCCAATTTTTGTCCGACCACTGCGAACGAACCTACCACCTCGCAGGGCACTAGCTCCGCTGTGTCAGCAGAGAGAACACCCAAAGACAAACTGGGTCGACCTATCAAGTTTTTGGGGAAGTCCCAAATATGTAATAATTTCAATGTCGGTGCATGTAATTACAGCGGTTGTCGGTTATTGCATATATGTTCAAAATGTTTTAGGGCACATGCGAAAACCATGTGTCCAAATAAAATGTACCCTAAGCAATACTTAACTGAGATAAATATTTCTGTACTCACGGCATTACTGTCACGACATCCATCTAGACATTTGGTAGACTTCATCATCACTGGTCTATCACAAGGATTCCATACTGGTCTCATACACATGCCTTCAGGAATCCTTGAATGTCCTAATTTACAATCTGCACAACAAAACCCTACAGCGGTTAGCACACTCATAGCCAAAGAAGTGGCAGAGGGCTTCCTATTGGGACCCTTTCAGTCCTCTCCTTTTTCCACATGGCGGACAAACCCCATCGGTATTGTCACAGGGAAATCTTCCCACAAACAAAGACTTATCATCGATCTGTCTGCACCTCACACCTCTGCCTCACCTAGTCTGAACTCCCTTATCCCCTCTGAGGAATTTTCACTTCAATACTCCACCATAGATCACGCCATTACAGCTATCATGCAGGCAGGGGTCGGAGCATGGCTCAGCAAGACTGACATTACAAATGCCTTCAAATTATTGCCTATCCACCCTACACTATGGCACCTGCATGGCATTAAGTGGGCCGGGCACTACTACTTTTTCTCACGCCTAACGTTTGGTTCAAAAAGTAGTCCGGCCATTTTTGACGTATTCGCCGAAACATTATGCTGGTTATTATTAAATGTAGCCAGATGCCCTACAGTTATACACTACCTGGATGATTTCTTACTGATCGAAGAGAACACTTCCCCTCCCAGTAGCCTCATAGCAACCATCAGTCTTTTTAAACAGGTGGGTGTTCCAGTCTCCCCCACCAAAACTGAAGGACCAGATACAGTCATCACCTTTCTGGGAATCATACTAGACTCAGCCACCATGCAAGCCAGCCTGCCACGCACCAAGATAGAGAACATTCTCACCAACATTAACCTCTACATACACCTCGGTACTTGCAATCGCAAAGAATTGCAGTCTCTACTTGGGTCACTGAACTTTGCCATGCGCATTATACCTCAAGGCCGGGCTTTCATCTCACGGCTCCTAACCATGTTCCCACTGTTTAGACATGATGCACACAGGTTACCACTGGATACCCAAGCCACGGCAGACCTACTTATGTGGAGAAACTTTTTGACCACCTGGAATGGGAAAAGCATGTTTCTCCCTAAATTGTCTGACTCCTCACCTACCATCTGGTCAGACGCGGCGGCTACCACAGGTTTTGCAGCAATTTACGGGAATGAATGGCTTTGGGGTAGCTGGCCTCCAGAGGTACAGGACCTGGAAGGGTTTTCCACTACCTCAGCTCTATTTGAGATGTATCCCATTGTAGCAGCTGCCGTGACATGGGGGCATCTATGGGCAGGTTCGTCAGTACGTTGCCACTCAGACAACCAAGCTACCTGCCACATCATAAACAAAGGCCGATCCAAGTCACTGACCATTATGAGGTTCTTGAGGAAACTCACCTGGCTGGCTGCATGCCATAACTTCTTCTTGTTTTGTGTCCATGTCCCAGGTGTTTGTAACACGGCTGCTGACAATTTGTCTCGTTTCAATTTTCAGGCTTTTCGGCAAATACTTCCGTCAGCCGCACGTACAGCCACGACCACTCCACCTTTCCACCAGCTAGTCATGGACTAGAAGCTATTATGCAACATAGCAGGACATTGGCACAATTAGCACTGTCCACCAATACCCGGAGAACATATGACAGGGCTTTCCTTCTATTTAAAAGATTCCTGTCACTGCACAACGTCACACAACCTTTCATCATGACATCTTTGTTAGGTTTTGCTTCTTTTTGCCACCTCAAACTTAAATTATCTTACAACACAATCAAGCTATATCTAACAGGCATACAACATCACATGCTAACATTACAACCAAACAACACAAGTTTCATGTCCTCCTACCAGATAAAAAACATCCTTAGAGGTATCCAGAGATCCGAACCCCCACGTACCGCGCAAAGGCTACCTATAGACTTCAATATCTTCAAGGATTTATCCAGCCTACTAGATTCAAAACCCTTTGCGAACAACACAAACCTTGTTATAAAAACCGCCATATACGTAGCTTTTTATGGTTTCTTGAGACCAAGAGAATTTACCGCCATCAACACATCCCAGTCCACTCACATTCTGCTTCATTCACACTTAACGAAACACATGGATTACTATATTTTAACTCTGCATCACTCCAAAACCAATCAACACGCACCCCCGGTAGAGGTTAGATACTATCCTACCCACAACGTGTGGTGCCCCGTCACATTACTGGACACCTATACTCAGCATTTCAAAGCATCACCATCTCAACCACTTTTCTGTCTACAAGGTTCGGTACTCACTACCACCACCTTCATGACCCACGTCAGGTCCCTACTTACACAACTAGGCCTAAAATCAGCTAACTATTCGGGCCACTCCTTCCGCATAGGGGCGGCCTCCACAGCGTCCAGTGCAAACATTCCAGTACATGTTATCAAGTCACTAGGGCGCTGGAAGTCTTCTGCATACTCTAGATACATACCTAACCCGGTACAAGAAGTTAGAAATGCCTTTCAAGATATGTCTGGTTGAAGTATGTATACTGCTCGTTTCGTAATAAAGTATATTTTCTACTTTTGCCCTCTTTATTTACAGGCCTACCTCATCGTCGGTTCCGGCACACCACAACCGACTTGCTCTTTCACACTATTCCATACTTATCAGTGTTTGTATCTTCTGTACTATCATGAGCCCTTAACACAAGTATTAAGGCCTTTGGCCTGTAATTGTGGGAGGGGCGTATGACTCACCTTCTCCCTACTTAAGGGACACCCCTTACCTGGCTCCATACCGTTCGAGGTCAGCGCTGCATCACCCTCCCACCCACTCCTCTTTTATTAACTCCTTTTTCTCATACATTTCTTATTGGTGGGCCCTCTTTATTTACAGGCCTACCTCATCGTCGGTTCCGGCACACCACAACCGACTTGCTCTTTCACACTATTCCATACTTATCAGTGTTTGTATCTTCTGTACTATCATGAGCCCTTAACACAAATATATATATATATATATATATATATATATATATACACATATCTAATATATTTTTTTTTTTATTAACTTTAACTTTAATTTTTTTATGATGTTACACTAGCAGGGAGACTGCCTGTCAGCACAGGCAGTCCCCCTGCAGGCATACACATGGACACCTATTGTCATAATCCACCATGGGGAGACTGTCTGGGCTGCAGGCAGTCTCCCCACAACGGGAGCAACACCGATGGCCGCCGGGGGAACAACGGCGATCGGGTAAGTACATTGGACCGTTAGGACAGTTCAGGACCGTCACCGGTTGGCAATGCAAAAATGCCGATGGCGGTCCTGAACCGTCCTCGGTCCTGAAGGGATTAAGTGCAAAAGAGACAAAGCACCCAGACCACTTCAATGAACTGAAGTGGTCTGGGTGCCTGCAGTGTCCCTTTACAAATTATGGGTCAGCAATTAATGCACCTGATGTAGAGATAAGACATTTCTCAACACCTAATTCATTATTCACTAACTACAATTTCATGTTTTATCAATAGCAAACTATCAGAAGTTTATGAAAATAGTATACTTATTTTATAGCAAATGTTAATTGGGTTAGCACAGTACTATTTTATTTATTTTAAAGGTATGCTGGAGTACAGCTGCAGAAGACTTTTTAAAGCTCTGACTTCAAATCTGATTCTCTGGACTCTACGAATGATCGTGCATAATTGAACAGCATATTATTAAATTTGAGTTTGGTAAATGAGCTGAACAGAAAAATGTTCTCAGAGTATGACATGAAACAGTAAAGACATGTTTCATGTTCTGCGATAATGAACATAACATTTTAAATGCTTGAGTATCGGAGAGTCGAGCCATGGAGATCTTTAAAATGTGTGACACATCATCATGACATGCAAAAGCACAATGAAGTGGTTGCTAAGCAGACTATGAAACTGGAACTATTCTCTATTAATATGAAGCAAGGCACCTTTTGAGTTTACATAATAGACTTATGAATGGTGAACAAATTCATTTGATCCAAACTGATACACCCAAAAAAAAAAAAAATTAGTTCAGATAGTACAAAATTAATTCATAAGGCTGATTGGTTCAGATGAATTTTGTTAGGGGGGACGATTCAGAAAAGCAATTTGGACAAAATAAAATGACAAGAAAATGTCCTTATTGATGCACTGCAATACATAAATAGTTACACTATTGCCTATTGTAATACAAAAGTGAGTTCCTCAAAATTATATTATTATATTGGTATTAAAATTGTATAAAGATATATTGTTATTCCTTTTGTAATCTTGCATTATAGTAATAAAGAGGAGCAACGGCATTAGGACAGATTTTAAGTTGATTATTATCCAATCTTCACAGTGCAGGCCCAATGTCAATGGTGGGAAAAAAGAAAGACTATGGAATAGATTGCTCTCTTCCAAAATTGTTGTCAGATGTCTAAAATTCCACTTTATGCTTACATCCTGTCAAAGATGGTGTTTGAGAAGTCCTATTTCTCCTACCTCAAGAGTTGGCTATACTTCACTCTATGGTGAAAATGCGCATCATTCAACTTGCAATGATAATGTTTGGTTGCCAGTAAAGTTGGATCTCCTTGACTTGCTACCTCCATGGCTGCTACCAGTGTGTTGTTATGGATAGGAAGACATACAAGCCAGTAAGAGCACACCATACATTTTGGCAATCATGTAGGTGATTCTGTAAGACCTGCTGTTTTGACTTGGCTCTGAAATGAAATCCAACAACATGTTCAAGAGTGGGCCGGTGGATTCATCCCTGGGATAATGAGTCCAAGTGTCTCTGTCCAACCTACCTCTGTTGACTACTGGAGCTATCCTCAAAATCATACTGCAGTAGTGGAGGAGCTACTGTTGCTCCTCTTTTTTTTTTTTTTAAATGCCTTTCATTATAATGTGTAAATCCTATCTAATGTTTGTGTTGAAAACAGTGTTGCTGCTTGGTGGATACTACTACTGTAATGTTATTTTTTTTAACTTTAAGACTAAACTTGCACAGCACGCTGTTAAAGATAAACAATGCTTTTAAAACAGATCCTTCAATTACATTATACCTTCCCTGCAATCCCACAATTGCTGCTGCAGCACATAGGAATAAACACAGAGAAATAAAAGGATTTCCATTGTACAAAGAGTCAAAAAAGACCTGCCATGCTCAGGCAGGCCACTTCCACAGTGCAGGCAGGGTTAACTTGTGCAGTAAATGGCCAGACTATATTGCAGTTTGCAGAGCACAAGCGGTGGCAAACTGTAAACCCCGTAATCTCTCGATCAAGAAATGTAACAAAAAGAACACAAATTAATATAATAATGTTAACTTAGTGACTCAAAGTTGACTTAAGTGGCACTGGCAGTAGCTAGGTAAGAGGCTTTTATTTTTTTTTCCTAGTCTCAACACTAGCAATTAATGGACTAATGCTAATGGAAAGGGTAGTAGTTGTGGGGGTGATGGTGAATAATAATGACAGTAGGTGAACTACTTGTGACAATGCTGTTTTAGCATTGACAAAGAGGCATTAGGACGTTCGGGCCCATTCCAGCATCCATGTGCATACTATTGTTCAGGGCTTCATTCAGCAATCAGAAAAATATGCATCAATGAATCACTGACATCCAGCAGTTTATCCTGTTCCAAACCCTTACAGCCAAACTTAGTAATGGATGGGTAAAATTCCAGAGTGAGGGACACTTTGTCCGTCAGTGTCAGTCTAGGTGTCAGTCTAGGGCGCCGAAGCTGGTACAGTAGGATCTCTGCAATATACCTGAATAGTGTCCACTCTGAGAACCAAGGGTGTCATAGAGCCCTCAGATTGAAATGCGGACATCCCACCAAATCCAGAATCATCTACTGGTTGAGCCAAAGCAGCCGAGTGACCAGTGTGACAATCCTCAACCACCATCACATAGACATAACCAGAGGCCAGTAGGCCAGAAGGAGATCTCACCCCTTGGGACTCTGGCCCCAAACTGCCAACTTGTTTATTCCAATTTGCTTTCACAAGTTTTTTCTGCTTCCTTTTCAATGTGAAGAGGATCACCATTTTTCTTATGGTTTCTGTTTTGCTGTGTTTGATTTCTTTGGTTGCTGTTCCCGGTTGTTCTACGCTCCTGCTTGACCTCATCAAAAAAAGTGGAAGTTGGATGGTCTAGTTAAGGGATATATTTTACCTAACTCATACTGATTGGTGTTTGCTGCTACTATAGGTGTCAGTAAATATAGAATAAGCAAATATTCAACTCCTGTCATTAAATTTTTTTTTGATAATTTCTTCACCAAGTCTAGATCCACAATTTTAGTGTAACAAATTATGTATACAGTGAGGATGAAAATATTTAG